GCTGTGGATTCCCCCCCCCCCCGCCTTGTGATTTCAAATGCATGGGTTTTTTTTCCCCAGGAATGTCTGGTTTAAAAACACTTTTTTTTTTTTTTCCTTTTCTTCCCCTGCTCCCCTCTTCCTCCCCCCCGATTTGTATTACAAACAGTTGATTTAGATGCAGATTCTTTTTAATCTTCAAATCAGATAAAAGACTGGAAAAGTGGATAAACGAGGTTTTGAAAACTATAGGTTGTGGGGATGAGAAGCTATTGCATTGTGTTCTGTCCATTAAAACAAGAAGAAATAGAAGAGATACTTTGATAAGTGTTCTGCTGGTGTTAACCTTGATGGCTATTATCGGGGGGATGATGCTATATCTATTTCATTGGCTTAAGCTTTTTTCATGCTGAGAGAAATCAATACTTTGAGTCGCTGGATGACAGAGGCATCACTTCAGAATTGACGGTGGCTGTCAGATGTTGTCATTGGTTGACTTTTGTTCGCTGTTGAGGTTTTAAGCTTTCATTTTTCTAAGTCTTATTCAGGAGTCTTTGTAAGATTTCCCTGGGTAGCATTTTTAGTCTAGACTTTAAACCTTGGGTCAGAGGTCAAGTGCAAAGATCTGTGAAAGCAGAGGATTGAGGAGCTCCTTCATTTACTAAAATATCCTTATTTGTAGGGAATTTGCGTTAGTGGCAAGACTACATGTTATCTTCTGGATGGCTTTTCCTCTTAAATGACACCCTCTGAGGCAGGTTGTTCACAAAGCAAGTAGCTTTTAGCCAAATTAGACAAAGGAATTGGCATATGTAGAACTGTTCAGTGATCTTTGCATTGAAGAATAGAAGTAAAAAGGTGCAATATTGCTAATAAAAACCCTACACTATTAAACTTCTTCATAATTTGTGGAAAGCAATACAAGGTAATTTTGGGACTGCGAAGGTGCACATGAAGATGGCACCATGCAGAGGAAATATTTTACTTGGCAATTTTATTCATCTTGTCAGTATTTTACCATATTTATGGAATCTTCCCTCAATGTACAAAGTACTGTATTTTCATCTCTGTAACTTGGTTTTTGGATGACCTTGTGCCCTGTTATGGTTCCTTAAAAATCTTCAGGCAACCTACGTGTTCAAATAGGCTGCAGTCTTGTCCAAGCAGGGAACAGGAGAGAGGAAAAAAACCCTGTTCTGCTCCACAATAATGGCAAAGAGAAGGTTTCTGTTTCTCTCTGAATGAAGGGATAGAGAACAGGGGTCTTTCCACTTCCTGTGCTGTGTCAAACAATTCTGTTTAATACACTTCCTCTTAGTAAAACATTTAACTGCCACTGAATTTGAGACTTTTTGTAGACAAACTGTGAAATGTACTGTCTACTGTACAAAAAGACATTTTCCTTCTTTCAACATTTTTGGTTTAAACATGAGTGTGACTGCAGGACTTTTGTGATGATGCTTTCATTACACACTTGTCCAAACAGATGAGGAAAATTTTGTAGAGTGCAGTGGAGGAAGTTTTGACAAATTCATTTGCATGCAACTGTATATCTAATTGTAAAACCATATTCAAACATGACAGGGTGCATATTGCAAGTGCAAGAGATTAAATAATAAATAGTTTTTTTAAAATTGTGTGTAAAAATATGTAATTTTTTTTTTTTTTTACTTTGTGCACAAACAGAAATCTGAATTTTTATCTTGCATAAATTGAATGATTGCGATTTAGTGTGAAGTATTAACAGGTACCACTCTGTATCCTGGTATGACATCTCGGGAAGAAGTGGGTCAGAGGAACCTGAAGGCATCTGGAAAATGAAAAAATACAGTAGAGAAACTAAGACTTTTTAGTACTTTCAGAACAGTCTAGTAGTGACTCCCTGCTCTAGGATGGGTCTCTCCATTTCTTTTGGTGGACCCAGTCTTCTTCCACTCATGTATTAACAATTATTTGAGAGGTGGAGAGGGAGAAGTAGTTTTTTTTTTTTTCTGAGTATGTGGCATGTATTGTGCATAGGAACCACTGAACAATTGATGAGTCACCTGTATGATCAAAGAGAAGATTGTTCTTGCAAAACTTTCTTAATGTTAGTAACTCTACATGTGCATGCCAGATATTTCGCAGAACTGTTGCTTCTTTCTGTTCTTATTGTAAAATATATTGTAAAGAGTGTGCTATGGTTTCAAGTCCCACCTGGAGTGATGTTAAAATTTTATGGGATTTCTGCATGTGAATGTCTCTCAGTTTTAGTGAGCAATTGCAAATATCTATTCGTATTAAATGCTGAATTTGCTGAAAAAAGTGATTTCTATATGTTTACATTTTATAACAGGCTGATTCTGTTTTCATGGAAGTTGTCAAGACAATAAAATATCAATTTTGTTTTACATTTGAATGTCATAGCTACACTTTGAAAATCATTGTTGGTATTTAATGAAGGATGCATTCAAAATTACAACATAAAGAGACTTTTTTTAGAGAGGTACCAGTTCATTATATCTTTTACAAAACATTCTAGTTTGATTTCCATTTTATCATGTTTTAAGGTCAAATGTGACTTTAATGTTCCATAAAGAGACAGAGATTGATAATGGGGAAAGAATAACCCTCTAATGTGATTTATATCTATGGATTTTATGTCAGATATGAAAAGTTGCTGTTCAAATTGTAAAGGAGGATCCATTAAAGAGCACTTTAAAACATTTTACTACTTAGCTTACCTATTATACACTTGTTTTTAGAATTCTGCCCTTTCAGGCAACTTAAAAAGAAAAGCTTATGCAACATATGAAAAGTGCTGAAAAGAACTCAGAATCATCATGAGTGCAAAATAGATTAATACACTGGAAAAGACAGCTGTATTTGAAAAAAAAAGCTAGAAAAATCTTGTTCAGTGTTGGTTTTGATTTAGCCATCTTGTATTTTTTGTGAAGAAGGGTGGCAGAGGGCTTCAAATAGGAGTACAAAAGCCAATTTTTGATGTCTCTGACTTGGGAAGTCAGCTGCTCATTCTTCACTCCTTCTGGATGTCTGTTCATCAGGTGAGCATTGCTCTAAGATGTGGGAAAAATTATGACGAAATTAGTTATATTAAAATAGCTCTTTAAAATGTATTCATCTGTTAGTACATTTTTGCTATCTAATCTATGAAGATCTTCACAACCCAAATTTTTTTTACTTGTGTTTTTTTCCCACATTCTTCCTATATTTCTCTCACTTTATTTGACATATAGATGTATTTGTATATACATATATATATATATAAATAACACTCACAGTCTGGCCGTTTTTTTTATTTGCAGCAGGTTTCTAATGCTCGTACATATAGGTAGGTTTATATAGAAAAAGTGTTGCTACTGGTTTTAGCGTAAAAAGCATGATGTTGTCGTCCTGCTATCTAAGCTTGAAGAAGTAATTGTGCTAGTGGCTACATCAGCTCTGCTTCACAAAGCAGAAGCAATCTTTTTTTGTTGTTGGGCAGATATTTGTGTCCATTCTACTAACTAGATCACAGAATAATCCAATCATTGACAGAAGCTGAAATGCTTTGTCTGGCATATGTGATATGTGGAGCTGCCAGATGAAAACTGAAATTAGAAACAGAGAATGCTGAAGTGGGGAAAAGCTTTTCTTGTTTCTACTAGTATTTGAATTTGTTGTGGATATTAATATCCAGTGGTTTAATGATGATCTAAAATTGGTGCCCATTTTTTTACTTGTATATTAACACAAATTTTCAGAAGGTCCACCAAAACCAAAATGATAAGAAAAGGTTGTAACAAAGCATGTCTCACAGTTCTAACTTTAAATTCTTATTTGCTTATATTTGGTTTTAAGTAACTCTGCAAACAGAAGATGCATATACAACAGGTGTAGTGCAGCTAGACAACTGATTTACTTTCTCCTGTTGGCCTGCAAATATGCTCAACTTCAGGAAGCCATCTGGTAAAGATTGATTCAGTCTTCATATGCATTTTGTCATCTATCTGAAGATATATAGATTTTCTCCTTAGTTTTCATAGTGAAATATTTATACAAAGAACAGCAAATGGTTGGATACCCAAATCTGATGGAGAGTCATGGAACTGGCCAGCTACCTGGCATTCATTATTCTGAGACTTGCCTCTTTTTTTTTTTTTATAGTGCTATTCACTTAATTTTGTTATAAAATAAAAATGGTTGTGCTTGTGTGTTTTATTATGCATTCATACCACTAATGTGTTGGCGTTTGCGAAATCTTGAGTGTGTATGCTACGTGGTTAAAGAATTGGTGACAAACCGAGATCCTCTGCTTGACTCTCTGGACAGATTTACTGTGGGCAGCTACACAGTGCCTCAATTCTCGACACTATTTCGTAGTTTTGAACCCTTATTTCTCAAGGGTTCTCTGTAAGTAATTAATTATGAGGTGCCTCAAAGTTCCTTTGGATGGTATAATTAAAATGCAAAGTAACAAAGTCTTTATTTTCTTCCTAGTCACTGTGTGCCCAGTATTCTGCAGACAAACGGGAAGAAGAAAAAATGTGTCATCATTTGATAACGGCAGCTAAGTACCGAGACCAGGTGACTGCAACTCAACTAATACAGAAAATTATCAACATTCTGACAGACAAGCATGGAGCCTGGGGAAGCTCTGCACCAAG